TTTAAAAACCAGTTTTTGAATTTTCAATTCGTGTTTTTGTATTTTTAATATTTTAATTTTTTTTTTGCATCCACTTAATCTTAATATACTTAAAAAGTAAAATATTTGTACAAAAATCTTTAAAAAATTCATTGAATATAACAAAATATGAAAATATATTGAATTTTTGTATTTTTTTTCTATTTGGTGAATTTATTAAAGTTTTCTTTTCACAAATATTATACTTTTTAGGTGCTTAGTTGAAAGATTAGGGGCTTGTTTAGTTTGTTTTTGAGAGAGTTGTTTTTGAAAAAAATTTGGGAGAGTTGTTTTAGAATTTTTTTTGATTTGTTTGGTTGTATATTTTAAAAGTAGTTTTGGAGTTTGGGATGATTTGATATTTTGTTGTAATTGAGTAGATGTGTATGAGAGAAAAAATGATTGAGAATGAGAGAGGAGAGAGAAAAAGTGATTGAATGATGTGTAAGAGAGATAAAGTGATTTTAAATTTTTTTTTCTAAAACTCATATCTAAAACTCAAACCAAACATCTAAAAGTCCAAGCGCTAAATTATTATGCAATAATGCTAGGTATCATGAAAATAATGTCATGAAAAGTCTTCATGAAGATTCTCCACCATTGATTAGATTATAGTGTTTGTAGTGTTTTGTTGTATGTTATGCATTCACCATTAGATTAGTTTCATGAAATTTATTATGTCCACAAAGACAAACTATCACAAAATGACCAAAATACCCATTCCTTTTTGTACAGGCATAAAAGGATCATTCCAAAACCTGATAATTCAATCTCTCTCTCTCTCTCACATCCATTTTCTCCTCCGCTACCACTATCACCGTCGCAACAGACAGTGGCGGTGGTTCTAGTTCTAACAATGAATTGGGGCTTCATTTCCATACAGAGTCAGAGCTTCGTTCTTGTCGATTTCGGTCCATAATCGGCGCTCCCAGAGCTCCACCGCCCTCTTCCGGCACTGTCGGCAACCTCGTGACCTTCCTCAACACATCGTCGTTGATCTCCATTGATGTCGATTTCGAGCTTGGGTTTTGCTGCTTATCTCTCTCCTCTTTTCTTTCTATCTTTCTCTTTATTGGTATAGAGTTGAGAGAATGTGTGAACCAGTTAGACTCCAACTTCAATCGTTGAGATTGATGCCAATCGTTCGGGTGGTCATTCGGGCGGATGCCAATTGATATACCGCTAGAAAATAGTGACAACTGTGGTTGACAAGGGTGACTCGGGCGATCATTGGTTGATACACCGATAGACAAGGGACGACAGCCGTGATTAACAATGTGTTTCCGGTCGCCTAGGAAGTCGTTCAGGAAATCATCCGGCTAGACATTTGTTTTATGTAATTTGGGTGTGCAATCTTAGCCGCAAGATACCTCATTAATGAGGTGGCATCATCTCCTCATATCTCCAGACCATATGGAGAGGGATGTATCTCCATAGAGGATCCTGATCCGTGTAATCCTTATACGCACACTGTAGGGGTTCCTAATCACTTCTACTCTCTTATCTTCTATTGTTGATGTTGTTAATATGATTGTTTTTAGATTGTTAATGTGGTTAAAGATGAAGATTGAACATATACATATATATTGGTAGTTGTTGATCTGTTTTAGTTCTGGATCTTGTTGTTGTTGATGATGATAAAACAAATTTGTAATATCGTTGAACAGATATAGCTCAGATCTGCACAAATTTGTTGTTGAACATATTTTTAATTTGCACAGATAACAAACATTTTGAGGGCCCCAATTTGTACATATAACAGACACAGATCAGATAACTACTTGGAAAATAATTTGAACATATAGGGAAAATTAAGATAAGAATTTCAAACAGATGGCATTTACATAGATAGACTTTGAACAACTATAATCAAAATTTCAACAAATAGAATTTTGACAGACAGAATTCAAGGAAAAAATGAACAAATAATAAAATTGGTATAGATAGATTTAAACAGATAAATAAAAAATTGAACAGATAATAAAATTTAGATAGGTATTTGAATAGATAAAAGGAAAAAATTGAATACATAGTCAAAAAATTTGAACATATAGGGGAAAAAACTGAATAGATAGTTAAAAAAAAAAAATTTAACAAATGGATATAACTTTAAACAAATAGAAAATAATTTGAGCAAATAGATATAAATTTGAACAGATAGTTAAAAAAAGTCAACAGATAAAAAAATCAACAGATAAATTAAGGGGTAAATTTGGAAACAAAATGCTGTTTAAAACAAATAAAAGAAATTCTCACCAATCAAAAATATTCACTGGACCTAATACCTGATACTCTCCAAATTGAATTTATCACCTATTTTTCCTACTTTTTAAGTATACTAGTTGTTGGGCACGTGCGTTGCATGTGACATGTGATTTTTTATCAACTGTTAATGTTGTAATTATGCGTGTCTCTTAAATTGGTATGTGATATGTATACAAAGTATTGAGACTTATATGAGTAAATTGATCTGTATTCAAAATACGATTAAGTAAGAAATGAATACATTAAATGATAAATAAGAAATTTTATAAACATAAATATTAATTTATAGCTAGATGGTTGATATCACAATCTTATCTTAAACAATAAACAATAAGTAAGTCCTTTAAATATATTGTATTACACAAATATTTTTCTATCAACTTCCAACTTCAATTTTTCATAATCCATACTTGTAATACAATTAAAAATATGAAATTAATTGCATAATTACATAATTTTGTTTAATAGTTCATCTCATAATATAAATTCATTCAACCCACTATTATATATTATTAGCATATTATTGGTGTAAGAATGTATTAATATCATTATGTAATATATTTTTATGTATCAAGAATTGTTGAGTCTTGTTTTCTATGTCACGAATATCTTATATGATGAAAAATATAACATTAGTCATTAGTATATTTTCATTTATATAGAAAAAGTAGAATAGTTTTTTAAGAAAATGGAATGATATTGTAGTTTAATATTTTGATCGATGTAAGAAATTCATAATTATTTTCACAATATTTATAGATCCATACTTATAAGTGTTTATGGGGTCACTTTCATGAAACTGTCAAGTTATATAATTTTTTATGAGATCTGTAAGTAATCAGCATATAATAAAAATTGATTGAAACTTTTTATTTGATGTACTTACTTTCTTGTTAGTAAAAATTATATGTTGTGTTGTTGTTGATGTCCCCTCTCTCTGTGTGCAAATTTCTAGCCTTTCTACTTCTTCTTTCTCATACCCCCATGATCTCCTCAACCTGTAACTACTGTTGTGTAACTGCTGCAACTGTTTCCTAGCTTCTAAGCCTCCCAATCACATTAGACCTTCACTTCTGTTTGTCGAACCGCCCCTTCTTCAAGTTATCACGTGCCTACAAGCCCTTCTAACATTCCCTCGATAGAGAAAGACTTCCACTTTGTTCATACTTCTTCTTAAAGGATTGCCCACAAAGTCCATGATTATTGCTAATAACTGCTCCACTATCCAATGTAACCTATGGGCAAAGCCTACTTCCAGTTGACGGCCCTTGTCTTCTGATGCTACACATCCACTCTGAACTTGGTCACGTGTCCTCAATTGACTGGACCACCTGTCGACAGAGTTTAGCAAAAATAGGTACAAGCAATGCCCATTTGTTTAAGTTAAATAAATATCAAATGTTTTTAACTTTTCTTGACAAAATCCAAGCACTGCCAAAACCCTCGCACTTCTATTGCTTACAAAAAAACTTAATCCATCAACTTGTTATTGTCGATAGGCCATTGTCCCAACTCAAGACATTGGAGAAGAAATCTCTATCCTCCAACAAAACCTGGACCAACTATCACCCCTTCCTTAAAGACTCCACCACTTCCAAACTGACACCCAACAAATCCTAACCACATTCCTCAATCTCATCGACATCCCACTTGAGGAAATAGCCCTTCATCATCCTGATGAAGCTTTGGCCTACCTTACAGCTGTTCTAAAATTTCCCCTTAATCCTTTCAATCCAATCCAATCCAATCCAACTAAAACAACTAGCCAGAATCACCTTAGAATGGCCAACTCTTTTTGGAAATGGTTTAAACTTGTTCCAAAGATATCCTAGCCTGAAAGGACTTTCTACTCAAAGCCCAAACCATATCTACCTTCCTCAGGCTCACTCATCAAACTTTTTCAGCCACTTCTGAACAAGATGCAACACTTGCACTTGAAGAATCAAGACTTGTGGCAAAAATTAGTCATTATCAGACAAAAAAGGCTCTATCTGCAATTGTAAAAAGAACAACTTAGCCAAGAAGCAAGGACTATGCTTTCTCAAATTACAAATGGTCCTTCCTCAATTCAAACTGTCAAAGCAGAACTGGACGAGGCTCAAACCATGTTGGCAAATGCTTAATCAAAATGAGGCATTCTGGCCATTTTCTTCCCCAAGACTTAGATTAGTGCTTTTCTTATATGTATTGCACAAAATATTTTACTATCTTTTGTAATTAGTACATTATTTTACAGTCCTTTTTCCTTTATAGATATAAATATTTTGTTTTGCATGGTCTGCTGTACTAAATACTTCATTCTTGTGCAAACTTCTCTGTCTTTGTATGAAATGTATTTCTTTGTATGCACTTATCAACTTCCTTTGAAAGTCTCCTACATGGTTGGATAGTATCTCTTAAGATACTTCCCATTTATATTCCTTCTATGTGGTTGCTCCTCCAAAGATTCCAATTGATAAGTACCTCATTTAAGGACCTTATGGATCCTAAAAGGGCCTTCCCAATTTGGTGACTAGTTGCCAAACTTAGGGTCTTTTGTTCCCAATGGCAAGATAGTTTTCCACACTAAATCACCTTCCCCAAAAATTTTTAACTTAACCTTTTTGTTTTAAACTCTTTTAACCTTCTTTTGAGCCATCATACAATCAAAGGCATCAATCCTTTTGCACTTTACATTTTGTAACTCCATAAACATGGCTTCTACATACTTATCAATGTCATAATGCTTGACCATAAACTAACTCATCAGGAGATGCTTGAATGCAATCCCTCTTTGAATTCTCAGAGGCCCACAAAACCTTAGATAATAGCTCATGCCAATCCCTTGGTTTGTCCTCTATCACTTTACTTAGTGTCACTTTGATTGTTTTGTTTGATGACTCTGCTTGCCCATTCGCTTGGACATAATAAGGAGATGAGTTCAACATTTGAATGACAAACTCTTTGGCAAACTCCATCACTTCATTACCATTAAACATTGTCCCTTGATTGACAGTAATTGTTTGGGGCAAGCCAAACCTATGCACTACGTGCTTCTTGATAAAATTAATCACATGAGATTGATTCACCATTTTTAATAGGATTGCTTCTACCCACTTAGTAAAATAATCTGTGGCCACTAATTTGAATGCATGTTGTTTTGAGGATGGTGGAAATATCTAGCCAATTAAATCCATTGCCTAACCCTAAATGGCCATGGTTTGATAATTGAATGCAAATCCCTAATTGTCATTTTTTGTACATTACCATGCCTTTGGCACTGTTGGCACCCCTTTGCATAATCAATGCAATCTTTCCTTATAGAGGGCCAAAAATACCCATGCCTTTTGATCAGCCATCTTATCTTCTCTCCTGCCTGATGAGCACCATAAATGCCCTCATCTATTCTAATCCTCCAATACATAGCTAGTCAACCCATCCTGGGTTCTTCTGAACAGGTCATCCCCCATAATTACATAATTCATAGCTTGATACTTTATCTTTCTATTTACTTTTGTTTCTGGATCACTCAAAAACTTGATTAGAGGTGACCTCTAATCATCCTCTAACACCTCCAAAATCAATACTGACAAGCCTTGTAACTGTCGACACCTAACACAAGGCATTGTCCTATTATGAATCCTAACTATCCTTTCTTGGAAACCTTCTGGAATTCTCAAACCAGAGGTTGCCTGGGCCATCTTGTTGGCCTCTTTATTCTCAAGTCTAAACATGTATTCAAACTCTACTGCACTATTGCACTTATATTGACCTACTACCTGTCTTATCAGAAACCAAGAATCCCCAAACACTTTCAAATGTGGAATTCTTAGGCTCCTTGTCAAGTCCAGGACAATAATCAAGGCTTCATACTCTGTTTGATTATTTGATAGCACCTGAGTTTCATCCAACTGGTATGAGGATTGAAATACATGTCCTTGGGGTGAAACCAACACCACCTCAACACTGACAACCTCTTCAGTCTTTGAACCATCAAACATCAACATCCATGGCTCTTTTTCAACTGAGCGCACCTCATACATATCTACCTTGACAGGGATACATGGATGCTCAGCTAAAAAATCTGCTAGTGCCTGGCCTTTCACAACTTTTTGAGGTACATACCTAAAACAATATTTAATTAAGGTTAATAACCATTTTCCCTATCTCCCTCTCAAAACTGGCCTAGACAACATGCATTTTATCACATCAGTCTGAGCAATCACATTAACCTTTGTAGGTAGCATGTAATGCCTCAGTTTGATGGTTGCAAAATACAAGGCCAAACACAATTTTTCAACAGGGCTGTACCTAGTCTCTACTTCATTTAATTCTTACTTAGGTAATAAATAGCTTGCTCATAACCCTCCTCATTATCCTGAGCCAATAAACACCCAATTGACTGTTCTCCTACTGAAATATATACCTTTAAAGGTTTCCCTTTAATGTGTGGCATCAGGACTGGAGGTTTAGATAAGTAATCCTTGACTGCATGAAATGCGTTTTGATGTTCACTTTCCCATCGAAAGTCTTTATCAGACCTTAACTTTAACAAAGGAGAAAAGGCCAAAGTTTTTCTTACTAAATTGGCAATGAATCTCCTTAAAAAATTTATTTTCCCAAGAAAACTTTGTAACTCCTTTTTATTAGATGGAGATTGGGCTGCTTTAATAGCTTTAGCCTTGTTTGTGTCCACCTCTATCCCCTTCTGGTGGACCAAAAAACCCCAAAAATTGCCTGCATACACCCCAAAAGCACACTTCAAAGGGTTCATCTTTAGCTAGTATTTCCTCATCCTTTGAAACACCTATAGTAGGTCGTCCAAATGCTCATCAAATTCATCAGACTTGACAGCCACATCATCAATATATACCTCCAAAAATTTCCCAATCAGATCATGAAAGATAAAATTCATAACCCTTTGATAGGTGACCCCTACATTCTTAAGCTTAAAAGGCATCACTACCCACTCAAAGGTTCCTAAATCCCCTAGGCACTTAAATGCAATCTTATGAACATCATCTAGGCTAAGAATGATCTGATTATACTCAGCATGGCCATCCATGAATGACAAGATTTTATACTTTGCAGCTGAGTCTACTAACCAGTCTGCAACTGGCATGAGATACTCATCTTTAGGTGTGGCCATATTCAAATTCTTGAAATCAATACATACTTTAATCTTGCCATTTTTCTAAAGAACTGGAACTATATTTGACAGCCACTCCACATACTTGGTTGTTCTAATGAAACTAGCTTTTAGAAGTCTTTCAATTTCATCTTTCACCATAAAAGTGACTTCATTTGTCATTCTCCTAGGAGGTTGTTTATGTGGCACATAGTTTGACTTTATTGAAAGTTTGTGTTCAACCAAGGACCTATCTAATCCTGGCATCTCATCATAACTCCAAGCAAAACAATCAGAATAATCTAAAATCAAGCCAACTAGCTTGATTTTATATTTATTAGATAATAAAGCATTTACATAAATAGGCCTTTTACAGGCCTTATCTCCTAGATTAAACTCATCTAAAGGGTCGTGCACATCAGCCTTGAGATCATCAAGCTTTACAGGAGCTGCGTTCAAATTTTTATACTGCACCTCTTTATAGTCTAGAGGGCTATCATCCACAACACACTCTAGCCAAAAACAGTGGAGTAACATACCTCCTAACCTTCTCTTTAAGAAAAAATAAAAATGTCTAACAAAAGTACTTTTAATTACATCAGAATCACATTTACTCTCACTTTTCTTCATCTTCATTGGTAATATCTTCAATCAGCATTTCATCTACAAGCTTGGTTTGCAAGACACTTTGCCTGGCTACTTCCTAGCTCATCTGTCGAAAACCTTCCTCAACAAACTTCTGGAACTAACCATAAGTTAGTCCAATTCCACTTGATCTCAACTCCTCATTTTCCAGCACAATAGGGCTAAACTCTTCAGCTTATAGTATGGCCTCCACATTGTGGATGTCAGCCTTGAATGGATTTACCTTTACCTAAAAACCTTCATACCCAAAAACCTTAATAACATTGACATTATTACATTATCTCTTGGGATTGTATCATGGTATTACATTGTTAGAGATATGAAATTTGATCACAATGGAGCATTGCCTGGTGGAATTGAAATTGGAACTATTCTAATGCATTGTTACATATTGCATTGCCATTCCATTTCATTGTTATCATGGATTTCGAATTCAATTGAAAACTATTATTTTGAGAAATGAATTGTTTTTGGTGGAACAAGATCATTTTGAATTGTTTTGGGTAAATACGTTGGTAAGTCCGGTTAAGGGGTGTAGTTTGATATTGGTTAAGTTGGCCTGAGTGCCTACGGTAAAAGACCAGAAATCGCGCGGATAGATGTTGAGCCTTCCAGTTAATACTGGTAAAAATGACAGATTACAAGTGTTGAGCCTTCCAGTTAATATTGGTAAAAATGACAAATTGGTAGTACTTGTATAGTCTACTTGCAGACACCAGCCTAGGGTTACCTGAGTCGTATTTACCATCTTGGAATTTTATTGAAATTGTTGGATTAATGTGTTTTCAAATTGGCATTGTGCATAAGATTTTCAAAAGAAGAGAAAAATGTTTTGAGCATGACATGACATATGCATTCATCTCATAAGACTGTATAAAATGGATTTGATTCATTGTTTAATTATTTGATTCAATTGATAATGAGATAATAGAATGAATTGAAAAGGATGTCCTGTTGCTATCGAAACATGTTTATTTATTTAAGTTAACTTGTTGTGGTTAATTAAATAAATTGGATTTAAGAGATTATGTAATAAAATCATATGGTTTTAACATGATACGATTTCACATATATGTATGAGTATTTTGGTACCCGCATCATCTTCTAATGTTTTAATATGGGATTGTTTGGTGAGCTAGTGGTTGCTCACCCCCTGCTTGTACATGTATACACGGAATACTTTTCGGATTTAAAGATCAAACAATGGTTTTTACAATTTCATAAGTGTAATGTAGTGATGGATTGTACTACTTCATTTGTTGTTTGGCTGAGTGCTATTTTTTTGTAAAGAGTAGTGTCCTCTCTTTTATTGTAAGCCTCAGGGCATTTTTTTTTATTTGTATGTAAACGTCATTGTTGTATAACGAGAGGAAATATGTATATTTAATTATTCATCATTTCATCCAAGGATGAAATGCTATTTGTAAATGGACTTAATTAATGAATATCAGTAAGGTTATCTGAATAATAAAATATGGGGCATTACAGTATGGCCTCCACATTGTGGATGTCAGCCTTGAATAGATTTACCTCTACCCAAAAACCTTCATACCTTGTCCTTCCTAGCCCTCTACTGTTAAGAAAATCAAGGCTTGATGAAGAGATGAAGGTACATAACCATTGGAATGGATCCAATCCCACCCAAGTAACAAATTATAATTTGAGGTGGAATTAATCACAAAGAATGTTGCCCCCATCACTCTGTCTCCAATTTGCAATTGTAATGCATCACTCCCCTTGTGTCTGACGAGCCTCCTGAAAAATCACTCATAGATACATCATAAGGGATTAAATCATCAACTGTCTTCCCAATCACACTTAGAATCGTGGTGGACAAAATATTCACGATAGTCCCATTATCAATCAACACCTTGGTTAAAGGACAACTATTCAAGTGAGCACTCACATACAAAGGCTTTAAGTGCATTATGACTTCTGGATTGGGTGACTGGACTACCGTCTTCTCACTACTACCAGTTTTAACCACCTGAATAGACTTGCCATCCCCTCTAGACTCACTCACCTATATTATCATTACAGTAGGCTTTGAAAAATCTTTTACATCACCTTTTAGTTGCTTTAACTGCCCAGGTTTTGCCTCAAACCTCTTTGGTAAAGCCAAAATCATGTTACAATCAGGGTATGCAGGCAGAGAACCAAACCTTATTGTATCCAATCTTTTACCAAAGTCCCCAGAACTTTCAGACTTTGTATCTTTCTTTTTATTTTCCTTGTTGTTGACAAGCCTCCTTTAACTTTCCTGCCACCACTGCATTCCCATCAATCATCATCTCATCTGCCCCACTCTCCTCATAAAAA